TATGTTTTAATGGCCAGCCCTGGACATGAGTAAAAACTGGAGAAAAAGAAAAGGCGATCGTTTGGCACAGCACTAAATTCAAAATATGATACAATTGCTACCACGACGCGGTTCATTTTAAGAAAAGAGGAGAAAGACGAGTCACATATTGTCAGGAAGGTAAAATAAATTGCTGTCGGTTTTATTCAGCTATAAATTATCTAATTATACATGTATGAGGAATTCGCAACAGTATGAGCCTTTCCATGACACGGTAGACTAAATGGGTATTGCGCGGGAAATAGGTCCGATGTTCTGCATCAGTGCATGTCCGACGCGTTCTCAGTCACCTCTGGATGGGGTGTGTAAAAGGAATATTTGGATCTCACTTATTCATTACTCTTTTAGTATTGTGTGACTTAGTCATTGTTTATCCCTAGATTTTAGGTGATATTCATTGACCATAGCTCACTTTATTTTGGTAAATTGAATTCCCACATGCATAACTCATGGTTGCTTTGGCTGAATTCTATTTGCTAGGCAATAACATTCAACATTCCTAAGTGGGATATATTTATGGCAACAGGCATACCCGTTTACTTTGATAGCAAGCTTAGAAAGCTTAAATTACAAACACACCAAACCATTAATAGCCCAGGAAAGCGATGGAGACACCGCCAGCTCATGTGGTAAATCGATAAAGGGAGGTAAATAGTGTAAAGGTAAAGTTCCCTTAACTCGCTGAGAATGCAACTCAAAAGTGAAGGTGGACTACATTTAGCGATACCTATATCCCAGATGACAGAAACTCCCCTAATAGAGTACTAAGTCTAGTTAAATCACGAGCTAGATAAAATATCGGATTTTTCTGGGCATGAACAAAAGTGGTTTCTTAAGACGACCTACACGATCCCTGCTGAATTGCCACTGTATTTTTGAAATCCTTCATAGTATATAGTTTAATCAACAGTTCATAATTGAAAGCGATTTTCCTTTTTAGGGCAAGTATGCATGTGAGATGAAAGGAGTTTAAAAGGTAATCGCTGGGATTTTGTATTGAACGTTTTTGTGGCTATTAGTTTGAAGGCCGTAAGAACAAAGTTATTCTCAGCTTAAAGTTAATGAACATTGTGACCTGGAGGTGTCTTCTCCTGAAGAATTTTAAAATTTAGACATCCTTCAACGCCATCTGGAACATGCATTTGAGACCCATCGCCATTAAATGAAATGCCTGTTTCAAGCGATCTTCAACAAACTTTTATCTCCCTTCTACGAAGCGCGGATTCACTTTGATCACGATAAGGTTTGTTATACAATTCCAAAAAGTCTGTGTATGGCCGTTTTAGAAAAATGGAAGCAACAGCTTCAAGGTATACTTTTTCGAGGATTTTGCCGCCAGTACCATCCTCTCGATATAATTATAAGGCATGTTATTCAGTTTCTTAACTGTTCTCCTGCTTTCCATAGACAATTAGTATTTAAGGAATTTGTTCTAACAAATTTAAGCTGAGCTTCTTGCTACATCAAACCCTTTTTGACAGTGGACGAGAGCAATTAAAGTTTAACCGGTCAACTAGTTTTGTCCGCGAAACGGTCAGTGCATTCATTTTCTTAACCTGCATATCAGCCTCGCTTTCTGTGTCAAAGTCAAAATGTTTTCAACAAGAACTGGAATGAAATTTGGAATGAAAACTGCACAAAAAAAATTCAATATCAGCTTAACTAACGAGAGCAATTTTTTGCCGCCATTGTTTTCATTTCTGAGCACTCGGAAAGTTTTGGTAGTGACACACGCGTGTGCCATACAGGATGGTCGACCAATTGCTCTAAAAATAACAAAATTGACATTTATCGATCATGGGGGGAAAATGCTGCTTTGTTGCCCTCTCCCTCTCTCAACAAGATCCATTACACTAGATATACGGTCGTAATAAGAACTTATGATGCACCTTATTTCTAATGACGGCTACTCAACGACTCCACAGATTCAACGAATAGGACTGAAATAATGCAGCAGCATTGTAACCAAAGTCATATGCAGTTCCCCAACCAAAGCTAGCTTCATCTGCTTCGGTTATTCCAATCCCGTGATCAGCACGTGAACAAGAAGAACTTCCTCCTCCACCAATCATCATCACTGATCCATCACCATATCCAATTCTAGCGTCTGAGTCACACCAGAAGCCGATGTTGTTGGCGCTTTGGATGTTTCCACTGCACTCAGCCTGTTGAAACCCGTCTGTTGACTTGTACTGAGCGCCATATTGAACAATGCAACTTCCCAGGCACTGGTCACTGGCCCAAACTTTACCATTTCTAAAGTCGCCATAACTTGTGATTTTTGATCGGAATGTTTGTCCAGCCAAACAGTTACCTGTGG